ACGTTGTGGGTTTTATTTATAATATATGTGTATTCAACATAATTGGTAAGAATTCTTGATTGAATCAATCAAAGATTACAGCACATCAATCTTTATAAATATCGATAGATGTTACCATATGACGAGATTACAATGGAATGAGATTCTTTTTGGAGTATTTCTAATAGTGTTGAGACTATGGCTGTACTTAACGGCATGGAGTTGGTTAATGACATCACATACCTGTTATTATCGGTGTTTACAAAATCGGGCCGTTCGCCTGGTTAGATCAAAACTGATCAGTGGCCGATTTTGGTTTCGATCAATTTTGGTGATCCGGCGAGACATTTTAAATAAAATTTAAAATAAATATAAAAATTTAAAAAAATAAGGGATTTGTTTTGTAGTGCATTTTTAAATTTTTTTAATGATTTTGGCAAAACACTTAATACTTATTTTTACATTTTTCCCTTTTTTTTTGAAAAATTTAAAAAATACCTTTGGACATAAATCAATTTTTTGAAAGTTTATTTTTCACTAATTTTCACTTTCATTTGGATGTACTTTTCTTAATTATGATTTATATATACTTTACATATATTATTTGGAACTTTTTTAACATTTTTTTGACAAGCCGAGACTTGACTGGTTAAACCTGTTGAACCGACCGATTTATCGATTTACTCGGTACAACTTTTTGGGCGGTTTCCGAGGCCGGTCTGAATTTTTTAACACTGATAATTATAGAGGGGTACTTTGTACGTGTCAACGGATGCAGTGGAGAATAAAAAGTATATGGAGACTTAGTGACCAAATAAAAGACAGAACGTAATTGAAATTGTAATTTACCCATGTTTAAAGAGAAAGGACCATGAAGGCTGGTGCCCATCAAAATACAGTGCCAGCTAAACAATTCTGTTAATAAATCAGTTTTTAAAAAATGGTTTTCTGAATCGAGAATTGTTGATCCAGATTTGGATTGGATCCAAACTAATCTGGTTCTTTGTCGGAATCAAGAACTGGTTCTTTGTCGGAATCAAGAAACTATCTTATTTGTATGAATTCGCCTGTCTTTCAAAAATTCTATGGATTCGCCTGGTTTTGCAAGGGTGTCCAAACTAATCTCGTTCTTTGTCGGAATCAAAAAACTATCTTATTTTGTATGGATTCGCATGTCTTTCAAAAATTCTATGGATTCGCCTGGCTTTGCAAGGGTGTCAATAGCCAGGTCGGCCCGGCCTTCAATTTTCTTTATTTTATTTTATTTTATTTTTTTTAACCCAGCCTGGCCTAAGCCCTAAGAGCGTTAGGGCCAGACTAGCTCGTTGCCGGTCCTACGGATCTATTAAGGAACTAGGAGAGAGTCTCAGGGTATCAGGTGGTTCCCAATTCCCACATGTTATGTATTTTTTATTTTTTATTTTTTATTTTTTATTTTTTATTTTTTATTTTTTATTTTTTATTTTTTATTTTTTTGTTGTTTTTCTATTATGCAATATTTTAAAAATCAACAATTCAAATCAGGAATGGCTGACCCATACCAAGAATTGGTCCAAACTAACCAGGCTACTTGTCGAAATTGGCAATCGGTTCAGTTCTTGTAGACTAGCTTGGTTCTATCAGCTACGAACGTTTGCCAGGGAATTGGGTGATCCAAACGTACCGAATCTCTTGATTCCCATAAAGTATACTTTTTTATTTTGTTTTTTTTTATTATATATAACTTTACACAGTGTTTTAAAAACCAACACTTTAAAGAGGAAATTGTCGACCCAGACTAAGAATCAAATCCGGATAACCTGCTTCCCACACATTATATTGCTTATTATACACAATGTGGAAACCACATTTATCGACACTATTTGAAGGTGTGCTTTACTTTGATTGGAAAAAGTTTATATAGAGCTGAAGCTGTAAACAATTAAATTAGAGCCACCTCAAAATTTTCACTAGAAGTCATTGTTGTGAGACCCAAATATCTTCAAATTGATCATCTCGACATCAAGATGCATGGACATGAGAAAAAATGGATTTCAAGTTTTGGAAATAGTGCATCTTATAACGCATTTTTAGACCGTCAATTTTCAAGTTTTCATAGATCTATTCAATCTACACTATGTTTTAAGCTTTAAATTTTATTATTAAAGATAAAAACGTATTTTAAGGCTATCACAAAGATTTCTTGTAATGAAACAACATTTCTTGATACTATTTGACGGTGTGCTTTACTTTGATTGTTTAGAGCCTCGGCTCTATAAAAACCACACCCATTTTGGATTTGTTTATATAGAACCAATGCTCTAAACATTCAAATTAGAGCCCACCTCAAAAAATTCACTAGAAGAGGTAGTTTTGATGCTCAAATACCCTGAAATTGATCATCTGGACATCATGATGCATAGACATGAGAAAAAAAATGGATTTCAAGTTTTAGAAATAGTGCACCTTGTAACCCCTTTTTAGACCATCAATTTTCATATATCTGCTCGATCTATACTATTTTTTAAGCTTTAAATTTTATAATTAAAGATACAAATATATTTTAAGGTCATCACAAAGATTTCCAATATTGCAACCACATTTCCAGACACTATTTGAAGGTGCGCTTTCCTTTGATTGTTTAGAGCCTCGGCTCTATACAAACCGCACCTTTTTATTTTTATCCTATTTCTTTTTACTCGTAGGCATCGATTCTCACACCAAAGAATAAGTCCGATTTGTCGATCCGGGTCAACAATTCGCCAATTCCAAAGGGGTTTTCTAGATGGTTTTTAAACACGTACAAACTACTGAAATTTTTACCCTCATATAATTTGTACATTGATAAAAACGAGCCAACATTCAAAAAATAACAATCGACGTAAATCCTGTCCCCCAATAATACCATCAAGGCTCCAAAAGGGCGAATCTCGTGATATCAATGAAAACATCCCTTTCATTCAAGAAAAAACAAAAGGTAGCTTGTACACATCAAGTAAGTATGTTCACATACGCTTTGATCCTTCTCTCTCATCTCATTCTCTCTCTCTCTCTCTCTCCTCAAAATGTAGTGAATGACACGCAAGGTGTGCATGCTAAGGACGAACAAGATCACGGGCTCAAACCAAAAAAACTATGTGACCCACGTCCCCATTTGTTGAGCTTTTGGCTCTAGCTAGTGGGACCAATATTATAGTAACACCAATTTATTCCTCCATTTATTCATGTGACTCTTTTTTTATATATATTATCAGCCACAAGATTTTGCGCTTCTCATTTTCTCATCTAACTTTCTCCTGTAAAACCTAATCTAGGAATAATTTCAGGCCTTCTGTATTGAGAATGTAATGTCACAAACCTCAAAAAAAAATAAAGAAAAAATAAATAGATTTCTTCAAAAGTATTTTATACATGCCTGAACAAAACGATGTTCTAAAATTTAAGAGAAATTCTCGCATCTTTCTTTTTCCTGTTTTCTTTCCTTTTGTTGTATTGCTTTCGTAGTAATTTTTCATCCGATCCATAAAAAGCTACTGTTAATTGTTCAGAAAAGAAAAAATTGAAAAGAAACCAACCAATTTTGGATGGAAAATGTTTTTATAGGGCGGCAGCCCTATTAAAATACTAAAGTCTCGCCTCAAAACTCATTGTAAATTGCAATTGTGGTGTTGGAAAACCTTGGAATTAATCATCTCAGTCTTGACCATTATGGTTGTTAAAAAACAGTAGGATTTTAGACCTAAATTTAATTTGTATTGTAACACATTATCTAGACCGTCTATTTCACCCTAAAAATAAGTGTTCATAGATTCACAAGATCTATACTATTTTACTTTCTTCAAAATTCTTAGTCGGCATTGGAAATGAAATTGATTTTAGAGCCATTATGGATATTTCCAACATCGAAAGTGCTTTTCAAACAAAATTTTGAGATCATAAAGCCTAAGCCTTATAGACAGACACGTATTATTTTCGGATTGTCTGCTAAGAACTTAAAAAAAAAAGGAAAAGATCTTCGTGCATCCTTTTTTAGGTTTCATTTCTCACTAACCGAAGTTTTAAAAATATATTTGGCGAGATAGAGAACTTATGTCTTATATCTTTTAACCCTTTAGACTAACTTTATCTCTTTTGACCACCTTTTAGCCCAAATAAAAGTTAAAAAGATATCTTTTTTTCTATTTTTTTCAAAACCACTTTTTCTCTTCCCATGTTTCGCTAAACATCTCTTCTACTTTTTTCAATATTTAAAAAATATTTTAAAATATATTTTTTAACATTAAAAAAATAAAGAGATAGAGGTTTGAAAAGAAACACGAGAAGAGAGAATGGAGTTTAGAAAAGAATAAAAAAAATATCTTTTGAACTTTTGTTCAGGTTAAAAAAAATAAAAGAGTTAAAAAAAATAAAATTAATCCAAAAATTTAAAAGATATAATAAATAGAATCTCTATACCGCCGTATGTTTTGAAATCATGAGTACCTTAAAAAAAGAGTGTGCAGAGATATTCCTATAAAAATAACCATCGGATAATTCTTAAATGATGAGAAAATTTCGTATAGGAAAACATGTTCTTCTATACCTCATTCGTGCGATAAAGTAAAAATAAAGAATGTCCCCTTACATCACCTGCGCGCTCCGGGAATGCAACAAGTTCTTGCGGTAAAAGAATGTCAGGAATGAGAGAGAAAGAAAGGAAAGCAAAAAAAGGAAAAATAATGATAAAAAAATGTCAGCACGTGGGTAATAACAAAGAGATGAAGTACTTGTAAATAAAAAATAAAATAAAATAAAATAAAGGAAAGAAAAGAAATGTCAGCATGTGGGTAATACCAAAGAGATGAAGTACTTTGTAAAAAAAAAAGAACAGAAAAGAGAGAAGAGAGAGAGAGAGATGAAGTGAAAGGGGGAGAAAGTGTATTATAAATCTGGGCAGTTGTATCATTATGGACGAATCAATTGGTGGTCGATGAGAGAGCGAGAAGACTAAGACTTTTGGTTTTTTGGTGTAATCCATGGATCATAGTATAGTTTCCTAAGAAAAATAGGGGCACAAAAGTTAGGCACAAAACCCTACCCAAAGAAGTAGAGAGAGAAAAGGACAAGAGAGAGAGAGAAAAAGAGAAATAAAGAGTCTCTCGCTCCCCCACGTTGATGCCTGCGCCTTTCACGGGCCTTTCTCTATCATTCAATTAATCCTCTCTCTCTCTCAATGGACTTTTGTCTTCTCACTGCCCTGATGCCAAAACCAAACATTTTGGGCCAGGCAGCATGGGTGGTATCCTAGGCAAGTGCCATGGCAAGGAGGGGCGAGCACAAGTCCAGGCATTGAACAGAAGGATAGATGAACTCGAGGCTAAGCTCAGGCAAGTCACCTACAAGAGAGCCTGTGAAAAGAGGGCCCAAGTTCGCAGAGAAGCGGCTTGGTCACGGGAGCGGGCGCAAATGCAAGAGCAATTGGACGCGCTCTCGGAGTGCTGGGCGTGGTGTCGAGAGGGGGAGGGAGAGGGAGAAGGGGTGGTTGGTGTGAAGGTGATGGCTGGGATGATGAGGGAGGAGCAGGCTAGACACGACGAGGCGGTGGAGAGATGGAAGCGTCTGTATCTCGCGATCAAGTCGGAGCTCGACCACCTCGTCCAGAGGGCCGCGGCCACCAGTGCAATTGTGCCTACACCAACAGTGTCCCCTAAAAGTGAGTTCCTCAGTTTAGTGCCACTTCTTCGCACCATTCACTTAATTGTGTCTGCCCAAGTAGTAGCCAAAACAGTGAGACCTTAATACTAGTATATTAAGTAATCATCTTACACTACTGCATAACTGCCTCTCCCACGTACACCATTAATTACCTCATGGCTTTAAGAGAAGTCGGCAAGTTAATTATCATCAAAGCTTTTTTTTAACTAATTAAAGTCGGGCTATATAAATTCCGATATATCATCTTGCTCCATCAAAAAGTCATATCTTTAATGAAATCATAAATCCCAATAGCCTGATTGAGATTTATTGTCCCCGCAAGTAACCCAAAGCGAGTACTAAAATAACTAAACCTAACCCTAAAGGTTAGGTGAGGTAGGGTAATCTTTGCTTGGCTAAATAGAATCCATTCCTCCGGGCCTTTGCCTATACGACTAGGTGCACATTCCACCCGTTTTTGTAGGCGAACCCACTCCTACATTTATGTTAAGTATGGGGCTGGTCCTACCAACACTAAAACACATGATGTCATCAAAATTCAAAGTTCATTAATGTACCATATCCCATCAGAAAACCTAAGTTTAAATGCCGTTAGGTAAGAGTTAAGCGTGGTCGGGCAAAACTAGTCTTCAAATTATTCACACACCTGATAAACATAAGTGTTTCGGAAGAAAGGTCAATGTAGTTATGTAAAGGATACCCTATTTTTAAAGTAAATCATTAGGGTTTAAGCAAGGTAATAATAAAAATAGTGATTTTTGTACTGATCTTAATTTTTTTTTAATTATAAAATTTTTATTTATGGACGGAAATTACAAAGAAAGTTGGTCAACCTATGTTTTTTTATCTTTTTCAAAATTATCTCTCGGTCCGAGGTTCTTCGGACTGAATTTAATTTAAATTTTTTTAGTTTTTTTATTAGTTATATTTTTATGGGATTGTATACAATGAGACGATTTACCTTTCATACAAGGAGGTCACAATTAATTACAACCATCCGATGTGAAATATGATTGCGTGGGTGTGTAATAAAGTTAAAGAATTTTTTTTTGAAGTTTGAGCTTAGCCAGAATAATTGAAACTATCTAATTTCACATCTAATGATCAAGATTAATTGTGACCACTTTATACCAAAGATAAATGATCTTGTTGTATATATTTCCTATTTAAATTTTAGTTTCCCTACTAAAAAAAACTAAAAAAAATTTAAAATTCGGTCTCAAGATGGAATCCTGAGACGAGACAATTCTAAAAAAACTAAAAAAAAGCAAGTTGACCAACCTTTTCACCTATAAATATAGCATTTCATATTTTTTAAAAAAATTAGAGTCCATACGTAAATTACTCTATACCTTTCTCTGTATTGTGTTATTCCCTAGGCCGATTCCTAATTTCTTTCTTTTAGGTAGAAGTAGAAGTAATTGTGGAATTGATCGGCTGGTTTTTGTAGAGGAAGGATGGTGCATGAGCGGGAAGGAGATAGAGAGAATGGAAATGGAATTGAAGTGCAAGGATGAGTTGATAGAAGGACTGAGGGCAAGCCTACGGAGCTCGGAGAGGGAGGTCGATATCTTGAAGCAGAGCCTTCGCATCCTCACCAATAGCTCCAATTCCAAACCGGTCCTAAAGGTCCTCCCTCATTCTCTTTTGATGGGGAGTTGCACCTTTTAGCAATATATAAATACCGGTTTCACCACTCTCAGTGTTTCTTACTCCAATAGGTCTTGTGGCTCCATCCTCTTATATTTAAATACTTCGATAAATATTTTGTATGAACACCTTAGCTTAAATTATTTATTTATCTGCTTGCCCATGCTGCCTTCCTAAGGTAATAATCATCATCATAATTTTTTCAAACTGTTCAATTTATCACTCTCGACTTGGATCTCAAAGGTGGGCCTTCGAGAGTTTTAGAATAAGCAAGAAGAATTCGCAAATCCTCTAGACGTATAGCTTGTACGGTTTTGAACCCAAATACTTTACCTACGATGGAAGTAAGCATGTTAGTAACATAACCATCAATTGGGGTGTAAATAATAAATAACTATGCTAATACGACCTAAGGCAGGCTCACATTCTTTTGATCAAGCTTAGTTTGATGCTGGGAGTCATTGTGTGTGTTGCATAAAAGCATCTTCTAGGCAATCAAGATTATGAATTTTATGAGACAATTATATTAGTTGTAAACACAAGTATCAACAATTCTTGAAATTCAGCCTAAGAAAACTGAGAAATGGGAAAGTGTGTGGTGCTGCCCCAGCCCACCCTGTGTAGCCGCTCCCTCAAAATCAATCAAAAAGATGCATTGATCCACAATTTAATAAATTTATTTCTGGACGTCAAGATCGAGTTACAAATGGATTTGAAGCTCTAAAAATGCTTCAACTTTTGTGTTATTTCAACATCTGATACGAAAATAACGATTCAATATACCCTAGACTATTGATGTATACCATCTCTATGAGATCTATTCCAAAAAGGAAAAACTTTATATAATGCATAGGATCTATGAAGAAAAGTAAAGCCGCACCTCCAAATCCAGATGGAAAATGCAATTATGATGTCAAAATCCATTAAATCGATCATATCGATCTCAACTACAGTAGACCTAGAAAAAGTAGACTTCAAGTTTTAGAAATTAAATATCTAATAACACATTATCTAAACCATCAATTTTCAAGTATGTACAAATCTATCTCTATCAAACTATACATTTTTTTAGCTTTCAATTTCATAATCTGGGGACAAATTATCAAATCCGCACCATTTGTTGAGCTTCAAATTTCATAAATTACATTGTTTGGCATTATAAAAGTTTCCAACATCAAATTTCCATTTTGAACAGGCTTTGATATGCAATTTTACTTTTTTAAGTACCTTATTGCAATCGAAAGCTTTAAAAAATGCCTATTTCATCCCCTCTCATACCAATCAATCTCCAATCAGTCAAGCATGTTCTTTTTTACACGACCATGTTCCTACCCAAGCAAAAAGGAAAGAAGTTACATTGAATTTGGGGAAATTTACATACTGGCCAGGTTTTTTCACCGTTATAATGGTATGGCTCAAAAATAACCCGTCATTACAAAAAAAAAAAGATTCATCTATGATTTTTTTTTTTTTGTACAAATTTGCTCTGATCCGATGTTTGAAACACCGTACCTCTTCGAAAACTTAGCTCTGCTATTTCTCTCTCCTCTCTCTTTTCAGTTTATTATCCATTGACTCCCTCTTTCTCTCTCTATTTTCTCTCTCTATCCTTCTTTTTTGGCGAGCAGCAGAGAGGGAGAGAATCAGTCTTATTCTTATGAATGTGTTGCTCCATCGATTCCAAGTTGTTTGCTTTTGGAGCTTCGATACCCTTTTACATATGCGTAGAAACACAGCCATTTGCTCTTTCTCATTGCCTCTTTCTCTCTCTACAAACCCATTTGCACGTCTCTGGTCTCATTGCCCCTCTTTCTCTCTCCATAGGAATCTGTGTTATCGCACAAAATCAAGAATTTAGAGGGGCGTTTACTTCAACGTGCTCTCATCTCCTCAGGACTCTCTCTCTCTCTCTCTCTCTCTAAGGTTACTTCCCACCCAGAAATAGAGGGCTGCAATATATTCTCTAGTTATCGCCAATATAGGAATACTTGCAAGTGCTTTACTCCTTGTTGGGTACCGCACCGTTGTTGCTAAATACTGTAAAAATCGGGATTCTTTTTTAAATAGAAACCCCAACAATGGTGACCTTGATTTCTTATATCCAAACCAAGCTCAAAATACGTAAATAAAGTGGCCCAACGTTTGAAACATGAAACTGAAAGTAAATTTGTCAAAAAAAAAAAAAAAAAAATCATAATAGTGAATTCATCTTTTTAGATAATAACCACTATTTTTTACAATATTGTAATAACGTTACAAAAAAGTCTGATGCTTGAAACATGAGACTGAAAGTAAATTTGTCAAAAAAATAAAAAAACTGTGACCGTGAAGCCCTCTTTTTAGATAATAACCACTATTTTTTTACAATGGTAAAAAAAAAGTTTCCGTATGTAAATTTCCCTTGAATTTATGGAAAATGTGGATGATGTTTGTTGAGAGGGTACCACAAACTGAGGCCTCACAGCAAGTGGAAAGTACAACAATAAATGTGATGCACATAGCAAAAGTTGAACTATCCAAAATGCCGAGTTATTTTCCAAGTTACGTCCGTGGGACTGGAGATGGAGCTAATGGTAGAGCCCCAGCCCCAGGTCTTGACCTCCATTCTTATTGTCAAATTTAAAAAAAGTTGTCTATTCTAAAATTAAAAATAAAAGTAATATATATATATATAAAAGTAATGATCTTACGAAACCCTCACACCCATGAGTGTAGGACCCCAAAAGATCACCATTAAATTTGACACAAATCTCTAATAAAATCAAATCCCACACGTATGTGAAACTTTTTTAAAGATATGTGTCAAATTTAATGGTGATCCTTTGAGATCCTACACACATAGGTGTAGGAGGGTCTCATAAAATCATTACTCTATATATAATATGTATTTATATATATATATATATATATGGTCTAATAGTTCTTTCGAAAAAATAATTTCACAAGAAAGTAGCACGTTGTCTAGTGACATCCATAGATAAAGCCCCTTCAAATCTTAGGTAAGACCAAAAATTGCCCTTAAAAGGCTGCCGTGGGACCATACTGTACATTTTGTCGACTCGGAAGACACCCATTTAGGATGATTTTCGGGGGCCCCATGTTATCCTAAAGACATCCAATTCACGTTGATGTTGAGTCCTTAAAACCTGAGATTCAATAAGAATGGAGGTGAACATTCGGAATAAAGCATAACGTTATAGTGATTCGTTTGAACTCGAAAATCCACAATGTCATTGTTCACCTCTTAGATGAATCCAAAAAAAAAAAAATTTTGAAGTTGAAAGTATGA